TCTATCTATCTATCTATCTATCTATCTATCTATCTATCTATCTATCTATCTATCTATCTATCTATCTATCTATCTATCTATCTATCTATCTATCTATTTATCTATTTATCTATCTATCTATCTTTACAGCACTGTAGCCTCCTATATCACAGAAATGCCTCGTAAGCTATGAATACATTAAAAACTGTACTTTAGCGATGCTATTGAGTAACTGCACCTAATTACAGCTCACCAGTAATTCTCATTATTTCATCTAGTGACATATTAACGGTACAGTGTTCTAGTACTTTGGTGCCACCTCAGTGCTTTTTCCATTTCATGGTTTCAGTTGTTCTTTTTTTCTTTTTTTAATAAACGAATCAGTGAACACTATAAACTGAAAAACAAAACTGAAAACCAACTTTTATTTTTCACAGAAAGCCGTCTCACATTTGAAGAACAAGAAGGGTTTTTTTTTTTTAGTAAACTGGCCAATCAGCAAGCAAAGCCAGTATTCAACATTTCTTCCAAAGTCTAAATAAAACCTAATGATCATTATTATTGGTGTCATATGCAGCAGTGTCTGTCCTTCTCTGACAATTCACTTTTCGATTAAAAAGTATTGGATATCGACACACTTTGGTTATTTTTCCCATGTACACCACCACAGTGGATTTATAGTCAAACATTGAGGGTGGCTGTAGCTCTGAAGGTCTCCGGAGGTCCATGATCAGTAACGTACAACTCTATAAGCAGTCTATAATCTACTTAGACACTTGTGAAAGTCTATAATGAAGAGACTCCTTCATGAAAATATGGAGGGTTTGCAACAACATACAAACCACTAGTTACAGTGGTTAAAAAGAGATTTCTTAGATTAGAAATGACCAGTTAACATATAAAAGAGCCTAGACCGTTCTGGAAAAAAAATTGACAGATGAAACCAAGTTTAACATGTACCATAAATATGTGAAGAAAAGGCTAGAGAAGGAAAGGAACAACTCCTGATCCAAAGAATCCCATGTGATCTGTCAAACATGGAGGAGGCCACGTTATGATGTTTGATTTAAAATGTATCTAAGAGTTCTGTCCTTAATATTTACATAACCTGGAAGGGAAAGTCTGCAGATTTATAATACGTTTACAATGTCTGTCCTGCACCAAGGCAGACAGTTTTTTATGTTTACTAAATAGAGTGATTGTGTGAAACAGTGCTGTTACATTTGCAGACATGGTTTACCACTTTACAGTCTGTATAATCAGCACATTTGGTTTCAAGGAAAATGGGTAATTTTCTGGGTCTCGGAACTTCTGAAATAGGACACAAACTGTGACACTCCTTGACACATCCATCTCTGTCTGTTGCCCTACTTTGTGCTCTTTTAGTACCAACCACAGCCCAAACAAATGTTTTCCCTAGATATAGATATAAATTATTTTTACGCAAATAAGCATCAAAGATGATTGAAGTAGGCAATGCACACAATGAACCATTACGAATGGAAATTACAAAAAAGAAATGGCTCATGTTGAAATAAACGCATTCATGTATTCTTGTTCAAAATATCGACTCCTCATTTGTTAAACTTATATCACCCGTTGATGTTAATTTCATTATTTTGTTTTATTTTAATATGTTCAGCATAATTAGTTACTGCCTTAACAAGTATGGCAGCACGTTATATTAAAGCTCAGTAATAAATAAAATAATAGGTAATATTAGGGTAACAAGGCAGGAACAAGAATTTCATAAAGTGGTAATTTCCACATTTTTACATTATTATTATTACATTATTAAGTTATTACCACTCAATTAGCAAAGTTATAACCAGTTAATATCCAAGTAATACCATGGTAGCAACAGTGGTTACAGATGG